CCGCTGGGGACGGAGCAGCTGCGGAGGAGGCGGCAGCGCAGCTCGAGGAGCGGAGGGAGCCCGAGCCCCCCCGGCGTGGCACTGATCCGGTGAGTCGAGCACGGCCCCCGCCCCCCAGCGCTAGCGGGCAGTGCCGGGCTCCCGCCGCAGCCGCCCCCCCACGGGGACCCCCCGATGCTGCCTGCACCGGCCCCAGGAGACTGGAAGCGAGGGCGGTGACCTGCACCCGGCTGATCCCGGCTGGGCCCTGGTTCGTTTTCTGTAGCAAGGCAAAACCTAGGTCCGCTCCGCTGCCCTCGCCCCCCATGGCCTGCATGCGAGGTTGGGTAGCGCTGGGGCTTGGGGGCCGCCCTGCTTCCCCGGGTGCCTGGTGCTGCGTGCCCGACAGCAACCCCCTCCCGCTTTGCAGATATGACAAGTGGCGAGCAGGGGGGTTGCTCTTTTGTCTGAGCAGCCGCGAGGGCTGCTGTGTTGTCTGGGCACCTGCAGCCCATCTGTGCCCCATTCACCCAGCCTCGCCCTGCCAGGCTCCCGGGCAGGGGCAGGGTGGGTGGCTTTTCTGTGCCTGGCATTTGTGCAATGTAAGATTTTGGGGGGGGGGTTTCTCTTCTGAAAGCGCATGAAGCTCCTACCTATCTGCATTGAACACTCACGCTCCACACACGCACACACACACACACAACATGCTGCTCTTCCCACTCCAGCCCAGCTCTCTGTCTCATTCCTGAGCCAAGCTTGCTTGGAGCTGAGCCTGCCTCTGAGGACTGTGCCCATCTCTCCCCAGTGGATTTATCCTGCCTGTCTCTTTTCAAGAGCTTTTCTTTCTCTCTTGCCATTGGCACCCATTCTGGAGAGGATACAGAGCAGAATGAAGGTTCTGGGACATAAAATAGAATTATTAACAGGTAAAATACGCGGGTGGAATTTGCATGCATTTCCCAGGGAGCCACTCTGGTTGTCGTATGGATGGCCAAGTTTACAAGCTGGAGTCTGGTGGGTTTCCCTGTTTCTATCCCAAAAAAGGCTCCTTGTTTCATGCCACTAGTGCAGTGGCACAGTTACTTTGGGCATGAGACTGCTTTGATTGGAGTTGTGGGGCAAGTCTCAAGCTGCTGACTTCAACCAGAGCTGGTCCAGGGGTGAGGGCTGGGGTGGGATTATGCCCTTTGGCTTTATGGAACAGCATAACAATGTGGGGAGAAGTTCTTGTTTATTGAATGCTATATGGGAGGGGATGAGATGGGACATCTAGCTATTAAGAGCCTCCACTAATTCACTTTTTCTTTCCTTGTTCTCTAAGCCCCTCCATTTAATTAGTTATTTCATATTTATATAATACTTGGAAATGGAAAGTGCCCTGTTAAATTGGATTTAGGTGGGTTACTTCTCATGGACAAGCCAGTTTCCTTGTATCCTGTCAGCTGGAAGCAGCTTTCTTGGCATATCTATCCCACCTGGTTCAGTAATTTCCCTGGTGCCAGAGAGGCTCAAGGAATAAACGAGGGGACCAGTGCTCAGCTTGAGAGGCTGCCGATATGTGACGCAGGCAGTTTCCTCCTCCTCCCCCACAAGACCAGCTGTCTCTCCCAAGCCCTGTCTGTTGGGATGTTCGTGGAGGTCAGCACCACACACTGCATCTGGGCTTCTCAGGCAGGATGCAGCTCTGTAGAGTGACAGTGATCCATAGTTGCCGCCGGTGGGGACTGGGGTCCTGATGGGTCCTTTTTCTATTCTGCTTTTCCCTGCAGCTGCTGCTAGTAACTGTGCACTTCCTTGCACACCAAGTCCACATTACCTTGTCAGGGTCCCTGCATTGGAGGGGCTGCACATTTAGGAACCAAACTTGGGATAGGGTGGCATAGGTAAAGAAAAGGGTCTGTACTTAGCCTCAAATGGGCTGGGGGACTGAGTTCACCCAGAACTCCCCACAGTGTTAGAGGGACAGGGTTTGCAAAGCATTTGGCTCTAACCCTTCTGGTACTACAGGACTCTGCAGTAAAGGTCTCCATGGGGTGTTATCTTGGGAGCTGGGGTTGTTGTTGTAGGAGCTTTTTACACTGGAATTGTAAGAAGGGGACCTTGTGAGGCCATTTTTCCATTTGTTAGGGCCAAAGCTGGGGATAAGGGAAGCCTCACCTATAATCGGGGAAAAGGTATTGTCCACGTGAGCTCTTGAGTACCCGGCTGGCTGCAGTATAACTGAGAGAGTGAGGGGATGGCAGAAGGTGCTGATCCCTGTCAGCCATGCTGCCGGAAATAGGCACTGTCTATTTTTGCTTGCTTGTTCCCAGGCTTCCTGGGCTGCCTGACTGCCTTTTGTTTTCTTTTCCATTTTGAGCTCTGGGGATTAGAAGAGAATAGGTTATGCTTTGCTACAGTTGCAGCCCAGGTAGTCACTCATTAATAAAGGGCCCCTCTACACAGCCAAGGCTACTGTGCCTGGGGATCTCATTAGAACACACTATAGTGTCTTCCCTGATGGGCTTTAACAAGGACTGGTCCTGCATGCACAGATGGGGCCAAACTGTTACACAGGGCTGGAACTTGGAAGGGACCTTCTGGGCTGTTGGTTCCAGTCCCCTGCTGTTGCAGGCACCACACTGTATATTCCCATTAGGAAAATTTACCAACTTGCCTCTTAAACTAGGTTAGGTTGTTTGCCTCTGCCCATATAAGAAGGTGGTTCCAGAACCTTGCTGAGCGGATGGCTAGAAGCCTTCTAATTCTAAGCCCAAATTTATTCATGGCTGTTTTAGACCATTTGTTTTTTTTTTAGTAGTATCTTTTAGATTAAATCATTCTTTTCCTTCCTTTGCATTTCTCTCCCCCAGTGTATTTACTGAAAACAATTCAATCCCTTCCCAGCCTTCATTTTGCGAGACTGAACAAACCAAGCTCCTTTAGTCTGTTTTATGAGACTGGCTTCCCTATCCTCTGGTCTACCAAAGAGTCCCTTTATATACCTATTCTAATCTGGGCTCATCTTTCTTGGATGCTTGGTGATCAGAATTGTGCACTGTAACCCAGATAAGGTCTCGTTAGTGCCTCATACAGAGCTGGGGCAGGTTTCTATAGCCTGTTCCCCACTTCCACAGACCAGAGCAAGCCAGTGCTCAATCTTCTGCCATGCAGAGTAGATACGACAGCACCCGCATGTCCTATGTTCTAGGTAGGATGGAAGATGCTGCTTCCTTGCTAAGCAGAGTTATGCTCTGGCATTGGCACTGGACATAGGCTAGATGACCTAACCAAAGGACTTCTGGCCTGAGACGTCCAATACTGAGGTGTTCCCTACAGCCTTCTGCCAGCCTAACCTGGACATTCAGAAATGTGGACCCTGATTGACAGAGCTATTTTAGCAGAAGCCCTTTGCATGGGCAGTTTTGCTAGTATAGCTGTGCTCGCCCTGGTATGGCTTGTTTCACTCATGTGAAGTGGTGTTACTGCGTGGATACAAAATGCTTCTTTGTTGGTGTAATTGTGTCTGCACTAGGAGAATTTGCCAGCTTCAAGGAGTGGGGAAAAGGGTCAAAGGTTTGCCTGAGCCAGGGTGGGAGGCTAACTTAGTTAGGCCATGCCGGTTTCTGCAAGCTGTGACCCACAAAGGAGGGGTGGGGCTGGCACTGTTTGGCCATCATTGACTCTCCAACCTAAATGACATTTATAGGTAGATCTGTAGTGTGCCAGTGTTCCTACACTAATAGCATGCTCCTATCAGAGGTGTGGTCACCATCTGTGAAGCAGTAGGAACATAGGTACCCCTTGGACAGTGTTCTGGAGAAGGAGGTGGACTTCCTTATTCTGTGACTGCTTCAGAATGGGGTGTGGTTGATAGTAGGGGTGGGGGAGGATGTGGCTCTCCTCATTCCTGGCTGGGGTGGATGTGCAAACAAGATCTTTATTTGGAAGAAGTTGCCTTGCTGGCTTGGGGGAAGCAAACTGATTTGTATGGGGATGGACATTCCTTGGTGTCCTAATGGGGTCAGTGGTACCCTCAGAGGCTCTGGCATTGAAGGGTGAAGCTGTGGTTTCCACTGAACTCCTGCCTTGAGATTGGGAATGTTGCAGGGTCTCCTCTCTTGCCTTCCCTTCCTCCTCCCATTACTGTAAGCAGCCTTCACTCATCTACCTGTTCCCAAGCCAGCCCTTGATGTGCTAGGAGGCTTGATGTCTCACCATCTATCAAGAATTGCTGTATTAGTCCAAAAAATCTGTGAGGGGATTCCTAAGGAGAGTGGGCTGGTGCCGAGGAGGCACACAGACCCATTAGTCTACGTTACCTGCAGACGGTGCCTGTATTGTGACAGGCAGAGCCAGCAAAACCATTGATTTAGCTAAGATCCCTGGTGCAGCACCATATTTCATGAGTCTTACAAAGCTGGAATTGGTACTGTGTGTTCCTAACCCTTAAAGGAACAGTCTTCTTTATAGCTTCCCATCTAATTTTACTTTTCTTAAAGCCCTTTCAGAAGCTTAATAATAAATATTCTCCCCCAATGTGCAATTTATCCCTTCTCCAATAGGCGAGTGTGGTGTTTGGCTGTGGTTCCCTACTGCAGCGAAAGTCAACATGGCTGCCTTTTGTTTGTTTCTATGTGGCTCCAGCATGGAATGGGGGCTGCTATCTACAGCTGTGCATATGGGCTTCCCTGGGGGAGGGGGGGGTGTTAATTGGCCAGGCCTGCTGCAGACCTGGCAGGGAGGCAATCATGTGTACCCTTATGTCTGCACCTGCTCTGACTTGCCTATATGGATTGCTAGCTCTTTGGGACAGGGGCTCTCTCTAGGTGTCTGTACAGCGCCTGGCACAATGGGATCCCAATCAGGGTTGCAGCTTTTATGCTCTACTTTGATACAGAGGAGAGCCAGGCCCCTCCCAGCTTTCCACGCTGCATCTGGGCAGAGGTTCAAGGAGATTTTCTTCTGCAGAGGAAAAAAACCCCCAAACCATTGCAAACGGACTAACAAGCTGTGCCCTACAGAGCTGAACTGGCAAAAGTAGATTGGGTTCCCTTCATCTGCAGCACTGCCTCTCTCTAGACCCAACTCAAAAAACCTCTTGCTGCAGGTTCTGGGAGCAGACTCTGGAGGATGCATTTCAAACTGAGGTGGAGCCTCCTTCTGTCCCTCTAAGGTCCAGTCGCGTGTGGACACTTCTTTTGGATTCCCTTCTCTCATTTAGGGAAGCAGATGCCTTAGGCAGGGGTTGTGCCAGACTCCAATGATGATCTGATGAGCACATACTCAAGTACTCCTCCATTTGGGGTGTTGTTCAGACCTAAATCTGTAGCTGTCCTGCCTCCTGCTGCCCATAGTCATGCTTCAGCTATTTCTTGGTTTGTGCCTTAGATCAATGATGCTGTCTTGGAGGACTTTGGAGGAACAGTGTGTCCCAGGATAGGAAGGGTGTTTCTACCCAGACAAGCGCCATGCCGGATCTCATTAGAACACAATAGCACGCTGACCACATTACAACAAGGTCTGGCCCTAACCACTAAGGGAGCTGGAAATTCTCTTGAAGTTGTAGAGTCAGAGCCTATGGAAAGTGCAGAGCCAAGGTATGATGTGCTTCCTGCCACCAGCCCTGCTGTAGCTGCAAATGGCTAAAAATTGTGTGAGTTGTCCTCATTGTTAGGCAACAGGACTTATAGGATCAAGTCTTGAAACAACACCTGGGGGACTGCTGTTGTCAGGTCTTTGGGGCAGGCTTCTGGCATATCAGAGATGGAAAGACATGTCACTGTCTCCATTTGGTGAGCAAGGCAGAGGTACTGTAATATTGCCATGGGACTTTGCTGTGGGACACTCTAGGGCAGGGGTTGACAACATTTTTAATCAGGGTGCTACTTGAATGGAATTAAGCTCTGAGTGTGACCTGCTTCCAGTTTGGCTTGCACCATTGCTT